AGGTATCTCACATTCTACAAAATTATAAAATGCAAAAAACAGCTAAAATGGGGTAGAAATAACATATAATTTAAAAACAACGTTTAGCCACTAATAACGTGGCATCAGATACTCAGCACAGTTGTACAGAACAATTAAATACACCAAATTGGTGACGTCACAAACATAACATTGAGCTTAGCATAAGTATAAACCTACTCCTTGTGCCAGAAAATAGTTATCAGTTAACACGAAAGGATGAGAACACAGAACACGTGGTTCAAAAAGCTAACGGTAGGGGAATCATTTTATTGTGGCAACAATTATGTTTATTTTCGACAGGTGCCAAAAAAAAAACGGGTATGTATTAAATATTCTCGGTGATTTTTTTCTGAGAAAATAGAAAGATTTTGTGACTAAATCTAAGTTTATTAATTAAGCCTAACATAACAAAAGTTAACGGAAATAAATTAAATAAGTGCGAGAAAATAAGAATTTGGTTATTATGAAAGGTAGTGTTGGTGTGGTAATGAATTATTGTGAATATATAAGTAAAATGAGTGATTTATTAAGTGATTAAGAGCATTATGACCTGTTAACTGATAACCCAACTAAAAACAAAGACAAACTGAACAACTTTTTCATTAGATTTAAAAAAAATAAATTTATTAAACGACTAGCTGGAGTACCTGTCCCCTGGACGGAAGTTATGTAATTTCATGATTTATGAAAGGTTATCTTAGGACAGTGGTTCTTAACCTTTTTTTGCTCCATGCCCCACCTCGACACCTCAAAAGATTTGATACCTCCTTAATATAAAAACAAATTTGGTGTTGAAAATGTTTAATAATATAATGTAAAATTTAGAAATTTACCAAAATTTCACACCCAAATGAAAAAATTTTTCTTATTGTAGCATTTTCAAATTGCCCCCTGTGGGAAGTGCGCCCCACGTTCAGAATCACTGTTTTAGGGCATGAAAAGTTGCTTCCCTTATATGTAATTGTAAAAAACGCAAAAAAGCCCATAAAAATCGCAAAACTGAACATTTGTATGTACCCTTGCATGGACCTAGTGAACCTCCATATTAATTTTGGTGAAGATCTATCCATACTCTGCGAAGTAGTTACATGGACATACGACAGACAACAGTCAGTACTATTATATTTATATAGATTCTCTTAACATTCTTTTTAGGTCTAGTGATGCAGAAACACCTTACGTTTATGGGTTGACCGAGATACACAAACAAGGTGTACCTCTCAGACCTATTGTATTCGCTAGAGGAGCGTTTAATTATAACCTATTTAATTTTTTTAGCTTTGGTATTGCAACCTTATGCATTACAGGGAGAGTGTTTTATAAAAATACAGAACATTTTACCAAGTTATTAGGTACATTCAATCCTTGTAGTGTTTTGGTTAGTTTAGATGTTGTTTCATTATTTATTCAAGTACCAATCAACGAATCTATTGATTGTGCTCTTTATACAAGATGAAAATCCAAGAACACAACTTTTTTCAGAAGTTTTAACACGAATGTTAATTTTTACAAAAACACAAACTGTATTTCAACTTAATCACGAATTTTATTATCAGATTGAGGTAATAAATATGGGCAGTCCATTAGCACCTGTTCTAGCTAATATATTTATAAAAAAAAGGCTTGATTATAAAGGTTAAAATTACGGTTAATCAAGGTTAGGACTTTTTTTGTCAGATATGTTGACGATACATTTGCTGACTTCGTTTCTGGATAAATGGTTAAACAGTTTTTAGTATTTTTAAATTCATTAAACCCTAATATTAAGTTCACCCATGAGAAGGAGGGTGAGTTATTTTTTCTCAATGTCCTGGCTAGTACGGTTAATAATTCTTTTAAAACGAAGTTAGTTATAAAAGAGACTCATACTAATCTACACTTGAACTGGTCGTAAGCTCATCACAAATCTAAATAAAATAGGGATTTTAAAAAACTTGATTGTCTATTGAAAAAACTAATTACAGTTCAAAAGAAGAGCTGGATAAGGAATTACATTATCTTGAAGATATATCGGTAAAGAGGAAAGATTATTCTATTAGTTTGATTAGAAAATACTTAAGAACTGATAGGTTGATTGAAAAAAAGATAAAGTTTATTCAGATAATTTGGTTTATTGTGTAATTCCTAATATATCTGACTTATTAAATACGATAAAAAATACTTTGGGAAGAAATACAAATGATGTATAAGCTTTCAGTTGTAGGTAAATGTATTTTTTATCAGGAAAAAATGTGAATATAATCTTAAAAAATGGAATTAAACTGATTACTGTTGATAAAGAAGTAGTTTACAATGTAGAATGTACGGACTGTATTACTATCTGTATAGGGGAGGCTGGTAGAAAGTCAAGTACTAGAATAGCAGAACATGGACATGCTCCGTCACATGTCTACCAACATGTACGGACTGTAATACTATCTGTATAGGGGAGGCTGGTAGAAAGTCAAGTACTAGAATAGCAGAACATGGACATGCTTCGTGACATGTCTACCAACATGTACGGACTGTAATACTATCTGTATAGGGGAGGCTGGTAGAAAGTCAAGTACTAGAATAGCAGAACATGGACATGCTCCGTCACATGTCTACCAACATTTTAACGAAACAAAACATTGTAGTGAAAATAAAATTGTTAAAATTATTCGTAGACAATCTACCATTAAAAAACGTAAAATAAAAGAAGCCATTTTGATAAAAGAATACAAACATTTAATAAATAAAACACAAGGAGTAAGTTTATACTTATGCTAAGCTCAGTGTTTTGTTTATGACGTCACCAATTGGGTGTATTTAATTGTCCTGTACAATTGTGCTGAGTATCTGATGGTGCCACGTTAATAGTGGAGAAAAGTTGTTTTTAAATTATATATATATTTTTTTCTACAGTTCTTTCGTTATTAACAGTAAGAAACACAAACACTAGCCCTAATGATGGTAACTGTGTTACCAAACTAGTCGGCTGTAGCTAATATTACATATTTCGTCTTCCATTGAGCTAAAAAAGACATTTTTTTGTTTTTTTTTACTCTTGATATAGTAACACAATTATGTTCTACCGTTCTTATTCTTATTCTTATTATTCTGATCGAATTCTATTATTCTATAGCGTTACTAATGGCTTAAAAATCTGAACGTTGCTGTCACTGCGCATGCGTAGTCATTGGCTGTTATTGTGGTATTTTGCCTATATATGTTATTTAGCCATGACCCACTGATAAAGATTAAGGCTTAGAAATAGCAAGACCTTTCTTAAGCATTGAATGAAGAAATCTGGCACAACATTTCTACAAGAGCTATTTCGTCGGGGCTATTAGAACTTAGGTCATGAAATAACGTGCAGGAATTATTGATATGCGTTGCTAACTCGAATAGATAAAAAAATAAAAATTAAACTAATACGTCATACAACGTGGCGTGCTACAGAGTCACCGAAAAAAAAAATCTAAACCTATTAACACGCTGTTTGAAGTCGGGGGAAGTAAATCTAGAAATTTTCATTCATGTCACGATGTTCGCCTACGCCCCTGAAATTGTTTGTTTTTGAATTTCGCGCAAAGCTACACGAGGGCTATCTACGCTAGCCGTCCCTTATTTAGCAGTGTAAGACTAGAGGGAAGGCAGCTAGTCATCACCAACCACCCACTGCCAACTCTTGGGCTACTCTTTTACCAACGAATAGTGGGATTGACTGTCACATTATAACGCCCCCACGGCTGAAAGGGCGAGCATGTTTGGTGTGAGAGGGATTCGAACCCGCGACCCTCAGATTGGGAGTCGAGTGCCTTAACCACCTGGCCATGCTGGACCGCCTCTGAAATAGTAACGCATGGGTGGCTAAACGTTTTTGCCAATTTTAGGTTCTGAATTTTGGGTACGATCCCACTGACACGATAAAAAGCAGCCCAAGGTTAAATCTACAGTTTTACAAGTTTAGTGAGAATACTAATAATATGAAATATATTTTAATTATACATCATACATTATGCGATTGTCGAGAATTGGAAACAAATGTTTTGTGATTTTAAATTGATGAAATTTTAACCAACGACTTGCAGCGCGAATAAAATGCTTTTCAATCATCTTTTGAGGCGTGCACATGTTAACATCTGAATGTCTGGCATAAACGCACATGGTAATTTCATTGTTATTAGTCGATTTTCTGGTTGTTTGTTTGTTTGTTGAATTTCACGCAGGGCTACTCGAGAGCTATCTGCGTTAGCCGTTCTTAATTTAGAAGTGATAGACGTGAGGGAAGAGGGAGTTAGTCAACACCACACACTAACAACTCTTGAGCTACTCTCTTTTCCAGCCCCCCAGTGGCACAGCGGTATGTCTGCGGACTTACAACGCTAGCATCCGGGTTTCGATACCCGTGGTGGGCAGAGTACAGTTGGCCCATTGTGTAGCTTTGTGCTGAATTACAAACAAACTCTTTTACAACGAATAGTGGGACTGATCGTCACATTATAACGCACGCTCCCACGGTTGAAAAAAGGCATGTTCGGTGACGGGATACGATCCCGCGACCCAATTAAATGCGAGTCGAGCGTCCTAATAACCGGTCCATGCCAGGTTTTGTCAGTAGTTGACAATCGAAAACTTGTTTTCGGAAAAACCCAATCATGATAATGTTAAAGAAACGGCCACATTACGTAAAACTTGCACAACGCTTAAGAGATCGCGTTCCCGTGAAATATTTCCTTAATTCTGATACTATTATGTCGTAATTCCTCATTAAGAGTGGAAATTATGTATTCATTGAGTAAATATATATATATGTAACTAGTCCTTAGAAAAAACGTTAAAGAAAACGTTGTTTTGGGGGTTTTATTTTAGAGGCCGCTGCGAGTCATCGCGTCTAAAATTCGCAATAGTGTTACTATGGAGACGATTCGGCCACTCATCCGTGGCGCGGGTTCCGTCTATGGGTATTATAAACGCAGCTGGCGAGAAGGTAGCCAACCAGTACAGCTGGGAGACAGAAGCCACAGGCTGTATGTACTCTTGTCTTGACTTCAGAATATAGGCCTGCATCGGTTCAACCTTCTTGACGAAAGTTCAAACGTGGACATTTCTGTGCAAGTAGACGGCGTTCGAAGTTTCTTTGTCTAACCGCGGTTCATTGCGATATTAGCGCACCTAAGCTACGCGGATCAAACAAAGGTGAATATTTTTATCAATACTGTTAAGTTATCATTCCTTAATATGCTATTATAACTGAACTGAACTTTGATATAATAAGTTCTGTTGACTGATAATGTTGCCTGAGAGTGTAGAACATAACTCTTACACTATATTCTTTTCAAAATAAGTTAAAATGAATTAGGGGAGAGGGGCGTTATTTATGTTGGATACTTAGTTTTCTCACCGCCAGGTTTGTTCTTCTTCATGTGATGAAAAGTCACAATTAACTAGGGCAAAAAACATACAACGTTAAGGTTTAAAATGATGTAAGGTGTATTACGTAACGAATATATATCCTGTTTAAAAAAAAAAACTTTTTATTATTGGTAATCTGAACATAGTTTGTTTTTTTTAAACTCGACTCTGTGTGTGTGTGTGTGTGTGTGCTACGTGTTTTTTTAAACTATATATATTATGATTTCAGCGTCATTATTTAATTATTCTAAACATTTTCCCTCCAAACAACCACATAGTCTGTGAGGCAGTTTCTGCACAAGGCTAGACATTCCCTTACTTTTACTATTGTGTTAAATTTGTACTATTGTGTTAGATATTTCCTATTGTGTTAAATTTGTACTATTGTGTTAAATATTTACTATTGTGTTAAATATTTACTATTGTGTTAAATTTGTACTATTGTGTTAAATTTGTACTATTGTGTTAAATTTGTACTATTGTTCTATATAGAACATATAGATTTTTTTTATGGAAGAGGAGTTGTTTATTAAGAAACATCTAAACGACAAAACTTTATAAAGCAAAAAGTGATATTAAAAAGAAAAATGAGAAAAATCTCTCTTCGTTAATTTCTGCCGCGCCCATAATTTCTGACCTACCTTTTCCGCTTTCTGTCATTCAAAGTAAGTTAACAGGACCGGCGCTAGCGGGAGAGGAAGAAGGGAGCATGTCCGCCTGAAAGGCAGTGCCTCCTCTCAACTAAAAGTAAGTTAACGGCTTTAAAAACAGGACCGGCGCTAGCGGGAGAAGGGAGCATGTCCGCCTGAAAGGCAAAGCCTCCTCTCAACTAATATTGTCAATTAATTTAATTATAGACTTATGTTAAATTTCGCCCTATTACGCCCCCCCTACAGTTAAGAAAAGCTGGAGCCGTACTGCTTTTAAAGATGTAGTTTTTATGTAATATATATTTTGTTTCTTTTCGTTATGAACTTTAACCCAGGTTCCGAAAAAGGACGCCTTCTACCAAAACCAGAAATCAAGCTTTTCGTTATCCCCTAAACCCCCTCTACTCGTATATTGGTAGAGTTTTCTTCAGGAAGATATAACAACAAAATATAAATCATATTTTCAGTACAATTACATTAATTGTTCAAATTCTTTTCTTCCGAATGGTTTACTGAATTAAATGTAATTTGATGTTTTACATAGTTTACTTTCATCTTTATTCAGTCTTGTCACAAAAATTGAAGTACATATTGCTATGGTTAGGTGTTTAAAATCCATGCAATAATGATACTGTCTGAGGTGTGTGTTTTCCAATTTTTTCCAATAATAATACTGTCTGAGGTGTGTGTTTCCCAATGATGATACTGTCTGAGGTGTGTGTTTTTGAATAATGATACTGTCTGAGGTGTGTGTTTTCCAATAATGATACTGTCTGAGGTGTGTGTTTCCCAATGATGATACTGTCTGAGGTGTGTGTTTTTGAATAATAATACTGTCTGAGGTGTGTGTTTCCCAATGATGATACTGTCTGAGGTGTGTGTTTTTTCCAATAATAATACTGTCTGAGGTGTGTGTTTCCCAATGATGATACTGTCTGAGGTGTGTGTTTTTTCC